AATTGTAAAATGATTTCATTAATTTACAAAGCAAGCATGAAATTTTGAAATCCGATCATGAGTTGTTAGCATCTAAGTTTGAAACTATTTCTAATAAAAATATGATCCTTAAAGAAAACAATGAAAAATTAAAATTGGATCATGTTTCTTTAACTTCAAACGTTGCTATTTTAACTCATGAAAGAGATAATGCCATGTTAGAAGTAAAGAACATACAAAGTAATATTGCTTATTTTATAAATAATTATTTATGTTCTACTTCTAAAGTTAATGCTAATATGCCTAATGATGAGTTGAACAATGTTAAAAATCGTATTTCTTCTTTAGATTCAACTCTTAATACATGCATTAACAACCATAAGAGTCTTGTGAATATGTGTGTCAAGTCTAAGTCAAAATCATCTACTTATCATGCACACATGTATAGCAAAGTCTACAAATGTACATATTGCGGTCGTAAAGGCCATCTTGCTAGATTTTTCTATGATGCATATAACCCCACCAAGATTCACTTTAATCCTCCTTGTGCATCTCATCAAGCTTTATCATCACATTTTGCACACACACATGCACATGCATCTATTTCTCATCATAAGCATGCTAATGTGTATAGATGTGTTCTATGTGGTCGTTTTGGCCATTTGGCAAAGTTTTGCTTTGATTTGAAAAAGAATTCTAGTTTGCCAAATGTTTCTAGTAGAACACATGTTTTTAAATGTGATGTTTGTGGTAGATTTGGTCATTTGGCTAAGTTTTGTTATGATTTGAAAAAATGTTCAAACTTGCCAAATTCTCCAAGTAAACCACCTTTGTTTAATAAGGTTTCTCATTTACAAAATAAATTTAAAAGACAATCTTTAGTTGCAAATGATTTCTGTGCACGCTCACTTGGTCAATACAAATCTTTTCACTCTTTTCATTGCACGAATTACAATCGAAAGGGTCATTTGAGTGAATATTATTTTGACCGTGCTAGTGCACCATATGTGCCCAAGAGGGTTCATAACCCTAGGGCTTTGAGCTTGAATGATAGAGGTCATGTCCCTAACCAATCCGGCACCAAGAATGCTTGGGTGCCAAAATGATTTTTTTTACCAAGAACTTTAGTGCTTTTAGTTTTCTTTTTCTTGGATTTGTAAATTGTTTTAAAATCTTTTTGTTATGAAAACAATTTTTCTTTTATCAAATCTTTTGTTTTCATAATTATTAGTTTTGATTTTGATGAGAGGTTTGTATTTATATAACCCTCCGGGTTTATTGGGTGTTTATTCCCAACTCAAGTTTACCGGATGCTAAAATGATTATATGGGTTGGAACAAGCTCAAGAGCTTGATATAATTGTTGCCTCTCTTAAAAATTGTGTTTTGATTTGTTGCTTTTGAATTCATTATAATTCACTTATATGATGATATTTATGTGTTTGTGCTAATGGATCATCTATTCGTGCTTTATAATGTATTCTATGAGTGGTTTGATCAAGTTATGTAAAGAAAATTTTTCTTTAATTGATCAAACATTGTTTCTTGAATATAAACTTTGATTTATGATTTCTTTTGGTTGATTTGTTTTCATTTGAAAACTTTTTGCATGATTCTCATGTTCCTCTTCTTTTGATTTCATAAATCTATTCTTTTATATGGTTTTTATATTTTTTTTTGTGTTAGTGAGACATTATTTTCATATTGACATTTTTATATGTGTTCTCATTATCTTCATGTATATGGGTAAATTTTTAGCATATTCATGTATGCTTGCTCACATATGTTTTGCAATGATCTTCATTGCATATATTCTATATGGCTTTTTGATAGGGGGAGCAATCCCTATATATATATTCTTTTTATACTCACCTATGCTTATTGATAGGGGGAGCTTTCGCTCTCTTAATTCTTTTGTCCCCTTTTTGATGTTGTCAAAGGGGAGAAATATTGTGAGGTATACAATATTCTTTCTTGTTCATATGCATGTGAATTATAACTTATATATTCATTTCCTTTCATGCATATATCCTTTTTGTAAATTGTTTGTCATCATCAAAAAGGGGGAGATTGTTGGCCTTCTTGTTTTGATGATGATTTACAAACAATTTACTACTGATGTTGTTTGTCTAGTGTTTGTGCATTCCTATGTATTGTAGACAAACAACGTTGTTGGAGGTTGGATGGATTAAGCCTACACGATCATATCAAGAGGAGGTTGGCGGAATTGTGGAGTGAAGCAACATACAATTCAAGTTAAAGATCAAGTTCAAGCTTCATCCACAAAGTGTACCAAGTCAAGCTTAATGAAGATCAAGTTCAAGCTTGGGTAATATAGTTTAGATTTTATATTATGTGTGTTAGTACTTTAAGCTCAATCATATACACACATACACGTTTTGGTTTTTGTATATATATAGTTATATATATACACATATGTTTTGGTTTGATAGTTTTCAAGTTTTACTATGAAACAATTGAATATAATTAGAAAACATATTTTTGTTTCATACTCATATGCATATATATGATTTCATCAATATCAATTTTAGTTAGTTAAATGAAATCATGTTTTAGTGCATTATATGTGTATTTTGATAAAATACTACATTCATTGTTTATAGACTTCATAACAATAGTTTACATCCTTCTTCAAGTCTATAAAATCATTTTGTAAAGTTTCAAAAGTTGGTTTAGGTCAAAACATTAAAATTCAAGTATCTCATATTTTCATGTTTTGGACTATTTTGTAAAATGATGATATTTCTCATTTGGGAAGTCTTTTTAGAAAACCAGTTTTTGTAGCATGTGTATTATCATGTCTACAATCATTCCCCAAAGTTTTACATTTTTTGGAATTTATTTGATATTTTTAAACAGTATTTTAAAATGGTCGACCGACCCGGTCGACCGAACCTGAGTTCCCGTGCTCACTGTGCGACAGAGAGTCTGTCGGTCGACCGGTCTGGTCGACCGAAAGTTCCATCGGTCGACCGCACCGGTCGACCGACGAAGTCTGCTTGGTTCTTTGTTTTTCAGACCTGCTCGCGGTCGACCGGATTTGCCGTCGGTCGACCGAATTCTTTCTTTCGGTCGACCGAACGTTCTGTCGGTCGACCG